GCCGTATGCCTAATTCATATTGCTGACAGTTTGGGTTCAGGAGAGTCTAGCCACGGCCACTCATCCCCTCCTGGTTTGGTACTGGAGAAGAAAAAGGACAGATCTACTCAGTGGGGAGTTGTTGGCTTGGTTTTGGTTTTGTTCGCTTGTTTAAAGCAGCAAGGTCCTTAACTCAAAGAGTTTAATCATTCTCAGCTTGCTGGTGTAGCCTGGGTGCCTGTGCAGAGCTGTGCGGTCACTCATGCACTCGTGGGTCTCTTGTTCCAGTTCCTCTCCTCCCAGCCTACCCGGCTTCCCCAGCCCCCATGCATCCGTGCTCGGCATCTCGGTGTCTCTGGTCTCGGCTGCACAGCTCTCCTGGTCTTTCCCTCAGGGCCATGTCTGCCAGCCTCGCTGCCAGCTCACCCCAGCTCTCCCATGTATGCCTGCTCTCTGTCATGCCATTTTTCGCGTTCTCTTCCGAGCTGCTTCGTGTCCAGCCAGAGTCCTGGTTTTGCTTTCTCAGTGTGCTGTTACGAGAAGTGCATAGGGCTGTCACCACAGCTTCTGCTGCAGAAGGGGAGAGCTCCTGTTCCCCTCCCTGGCTCCCCAGATCCATGCTGCTTTGCAGCAGTGGTGGGTGCTCATCAGACCCTTCATGTGAGCCAGCTTAATGAGTTTAAATGACATAAAATTGTGCCAGCAAAGTAGTTTTCTTCGAGGATAATCACTGAAATGGGCTTGTGGAAGAAGGGCTGGGCACATGCAAGAGGAAAACAGTGCAGCAAGGACCAGGGAAGCAGCAGCAGCAGCTCAGAGCTCTCCATCCACTACGTCCCTTTTGGGGAAGGTTCCCTTAGGGACCCTCTCGGTGGTGATGCTGCTGGGAGAGATGTGGGCGCCTGGAGCTGCTCCTCCCTGGTTTCAGCGCAGTCCCCTGCAGATTCAAAGCGCATCTGTAACCAAAGCTTCAGAAGGTACAATTTGAAATTGCCAGCGCCCCTCTGAGCCCACGTGTTTTGTGGTTCCTATATCTGCTCTCCTCCCAAAGCTTTATTTTGGGCAGACTGTTTGTATGGCAATGAAAAGAACAACCCTGGAAAAAAGTTGCGTTCCTAACACATTTCAAGTCTGTGCTAAAATAACCAGGGAACAAAATTTCTCAAATAAACATGGGCTGGAATTTTTATATAGACAGGGTATGTATTTTTTCCCAGCCATTGGTCTTGGAAAGAGCTCATTGCACAATTTTTTTTTTTTTTTTTATTGAGCTTGGGGCAGACGATAGGTGACATGTAAGGCCAGGCAGTTAGTTGCGAGGTATATGGAAGCAAAATCTTTATAATGAAGAGTTTTAATAGTGAATAATGCTGTTATCCCCAACTATAACAACTGAAAGAGCTGACAGGCAGCATTTTAATCCTTTTTTCCAATTCTACTGAAAGGTGACGAGACGTTTTTGTTTGGATCCTAACAGATTGTGTAAAGTAGGATTTTTAAAACTTTTATATGCAGCCCATTGGGAGAAAAAACAATCGGACACTAAGTGTATTGTGTACCTTTTCATGGCAATGCACTGGTTTTAGTTGTTGGGGGGAAATCAGATTTGTATATTTGAGATATGAGAAAGAGTAAATGAATTAATAAGTACATACTATCCTGATACAATCTACTTATATATTAAGTGACAGAAAAAGGCATAACAATTTCTTAATAGAAAAGATGATCAGGAATTTTTTAAAGGAAAAGTATTTGATCATAAACTTTTATGGGGTAACTTCTACATGTTGCTTTCTCTCCCCATTAGTACCTCTGAAATAGCTTACCTGCAGCTAGAGTCTGCTTTTGGACAAGGTGAAGGGGACTTGTACTAACACTCCCCTGTTTTCAAATAACCTTAAGCACGGATGCAGAAGCAGTAACCTGGCTCAGCAGGAGCGAGGGAGGGAGGTGGCTGTGCCTGGCCCTGGGAGGAGGCGGTGGCGTGTGGTGGTCTGAGAGCACTCCAGTGCCTCCATGATCAGGGGCTGTTATCCACTCCTCAGTCACTTGTTGCCTGGGAGACAAATGTAACCCAGGGATTTTTTTTTTTCCCCTTCCTTGCTGGTTTTTGATTGGAGCCACTATTGACTTTTGGCTTGGAGGAGGTAGTGAAGCAGCACGCCAAGTGTCATAAGATGGAAATTAATCACTAACCGATGGGTCTGAGTTCCAATGATTTCCTTTCCCGTGATTGCTCTGTATTTGGGAAGACTAATGACACATCTAAACAGACAGTTAACGAAGCTCTTCACACCTCCGACAGTCAAGAAGGATTCTTAACCAGATGACACTTCAGTTTTCTTTTTATTTCTGCTCTCTTGTGTGATTGTAGAAAAACAAAAGTAACTCTCTTAAAAAAGGAACTTTGCATGGTTGGAGAGCTTTGCCTTAAATTGCATTTGTTTTTGCTTCTAAATTATAAGTCAGCTCAGTTGCAGTGAAAATATAGCAAATCTGCCTTCCTAGTGTTTCTGTTAACAAGGAGTATAATTCTTCTCAATACTTTTTGTGTGAGCGAGTTTCTGCTTTTCAGTGAGATTATTTTTGGCTTTTGCAAGAATATGCAAAAGCCAAACAAATTTAGCTTAAGAGTAATGAAAGGTTTTGAAGTTACTCTTCAGTAGTGACTTCATCTTGTAAGGCCCTCAACTTGAACTAACTCCGATGGGTTTTGGGGGGTGATCTCTTCCAGGTAGATGACAAGTCTGTCTTGGAAGTAAATGAAAAAACAGAGAAGTTTGGAAACAATATGTTGTGTTCCAGCAAGTACAAATAAGGTAGATGGTATTTAAGTGTAGCTTTTTTTTTTAAGCTTATCCCATGCTGTAAGGAGTAAGGAATCCAGCAAAGGTTTTCTCCTGAAAAATGTTCCTAGTTTTGCACGTTGCTTGCTTAAAAGGAAATTTTATGTTCTTCTTGCTCTGGCTTTTGGATGGAGCATGGAAGTGGAATTTGAGAGGTTTGGATTCTATTTTTGACTCTGTCCGTTGCCTAAAAAGTCACTTACTAGGCTGATTGTGTGAAGTCTCTGGCTCATTGTCCCATGTTTAAAAAGAGGGCTAAACATAACAGTCTTCTGTTTGCAAACTGGTTTGAGATATGTGGCGTGCAGCTTCCACCACTGACACCAGCAGTGGATCTTTCAGTCATCTGCTATAGTGCTTACCAAGACGAAAGCCCCAGAGTCTTGCTTGCTCTCTCTCTGTGGCCCCTTGAATGTTGGGCTTTTTTGGCCGTGCAAGGGCCCCGCTTCATCTTGAGAGCTGGAGGATTTCTCCCATCAGACTGTTCAGTGGCCTTCTGGCCGGGTGCCCTCGGGAAGCAAGGGGAGAGACGGGCTTGAACCCTGCCATCCCGGAGAGGCTTGACCCCACGCTCCCCGTTCTACCAGAGCAGCATGCAGAAGATGGTTCCTTCTTCATCCCCTCCAGCAGATGTGCTTGTTTCCGCAAGAAAGCGGTCACAGCTCCTGCGGGTTGTGCCAGCTCCTCTCCTTTTCTTTCGAGCCAAGTCTCACGCGGTGCTGTGAGCTTGCTAAAAGCTCCCAGACAGCTATCCAGTGACATTGGGGAAGATTTTTCTGTTTAATTTTTCTGTTTTTGGGGGGGAGAATTTAGTGCAGATTTGCTGTCTGTGAGCTCGGAAGGAGGTCTGTAAGCACTCTGCACGGTGTATCCTAAAGCTGCCTGTGAGGCAGAGGGACGCTTAGGAGTTGGTAGGGCTCCACAAAGATGACAAATTTTTGAAAGGAAACAAGTGTCTGGTTTTGGTCTCCCTTGTGGCTTTAGAAAATAATATCCCACTTTTGGTGTGATTTCTTTGTGTGTGTGTGTGTGTGTGTGTGTGTGTGTGTTCTTTGACGCATGAAACCGAGAGCCTTGCTCCACTGATAGAAGTTGGAGTTGAGAAAAGGAATGGTCCTGGGTTGAGAAGCGGCTAGAGGCGGTAGCACAGCCTCCCCTGCCTGTCCCAGAAGACGTCAACATTTACCAAAAACCTTATCATAATGCCTTGAAAGCCTGCCAGTGGAGTTCAGTCAATAATTAGGATTGCTGTTTGTTTTTACGTGTGCTCGAGCAGACCAAGGCTGCTCCTGAACTATCATTTTGTATGCTTTCCTAGTGGAGCCGAGGGAAAGTTGTTTTCCTGTTTGTTTGAGAACTCGCACAAAACAATTCAAAATATCTGCACCCTGACCTCTGATGGGATTGAGACAAGAACTGAAATTGCAGTGCTCGTAACTGCAGAATAAATACTGAATTTTAGTGTAGTCTTTGCATTACAGATTGACTGCTTGAGTTGCTCCATGGGTCCAGAAAGGGTAATTACAGTAACTGTTGTTTTAACAGATCACAATTTCACAACACCCTTAAATGGTTTAAACTCTGATTATACTGTGGGCTTTTTTTTTGTTTTGGGTTTTTTGGGTATTTTTTCCCCCCGTTAGGGGAGAAAAGATGATTAATTTCCTCTTGTAGTATAATGGCACTGATGTCATGTCGTTGAAGGATTAAGTCCTTTTATTTTTAAAACAGTTACTAGGGTGTTTAAACCCTTCCTTTTTAGCCCTGTTTCTTGTTAGTATAACAGCAAAAGGACAAGAAAATCACTTTCAAAAAGAATCTACTTTTCTTCAAAGTTTCCATTTAACAGTAACTGTAGCTTCTTATTTTTCCAGTAAGGGGTGATGGGGAAATTGCCAGATAGTATTAAATCGTATTAACTAGTAACAAGAGAAGGGGGGGGAAAAGGCAACCAAACATTCATTCTTACTTTTCCCCCCCTGGAAGCGTGATTTAAGTCATACAGTTGCAATATGTTATTAATGGAGCAGTAATCTCTGGCAAGCAAACTACGTTCACTTCTGTCAGACAAAAAACCCAAACCCACTGCTTTTCCTGACAAATACTGCTAAATAAATAAGGCTATGCCATTAGATCAAACATTTGATTTTTTTTTTAATTCTTTTTTCTTTGCAGAGTATTGGAAAGGGGTCCTTGTGGTGTATAGACCCAGAATATAGACAAAATCTTATTCAGGCTTTGAAAAAGACACCCTATCACCCATATTCGCATGTGTTCAATACACCTCCCACATCTCCTCAGGCATATCAAAGGTAAGAACTAGATGCATTTTACAACTCTAAATGTTTTCATCCAGTGTTGCGTATGAATCTTGGATAAGACGTTAAATGTAATTAAGCGATGCAGTTTGGAAATGCGCTAGTGAAGGAAGCCCAGGAGCGCTGGCGGCAGCCTGGCCTCGCTCGGCGCGCGTCCGGGACACCTTACCTGCCCGTCCCCCGAGCGGAGCTTGCCGTCCTGCTCCCGTGTGAGCCACTGAGCCTTCTGGCAGAACGCCTGAAGTTAAATAAAACGCATATAAGCAACTGGAGAGCTCTGAAGTGTCCGCTCATCCCCTTTGCAGCAGGTGGAAGCACAGTACCCTGGCTCGGAGGCGACGGGCTCGGTTTTTCCCCGAAGCGTGCTGTGGGGCCTGTGTTGCCTGTGCAAGCGTCAGGTCTCCAGGCGAGCCCCGCGCCCGGGTGGCTGACGCAGCCCTTGTTGTAGTTACGCGCTCCCTGCGCCAGCGCCTGCCCTCCAGGGTGCCCCGGAGGGGCGCGGGGGGAAGCAGCAGCCACTTTTCTGCCTCGCTTCAGCAAAATAGGTGTGGGGCGGATTTTTTCATTTGTTTTGCATTTGTTTGTGATCTGGCCGTTGCTTATGACTAACGTTAGCGAAGAAAGAGAGATAATCTACGGCTGCCATCCGCCAGGCCAGGAAGCAAACACCAGGTTTTCACACAACTGCTTTCTCCTCGCTGCTAATAAGGAAATAGTTTTCTTCACTTTTTCCCGATGTGGGGTCAGGAGTGCGGCTCGTGGCCGGCTCTGTACCGCACCCCGCAAAATCGGGAAGGTGTCTCTAACCAGCCGTAGCAGGGCTCAGCAGCGTCGGAGGGGGAGGGGGCGGGGGACGTGGGGCGGGCGCGGGAGAGGCCGAGGCTGCCGCCGCCCGCCCTTGCCGCCCGATGAGCGTGATGGTCGCCATAGCAACGCGGGCGTCTCCCTGGCAACGCGTAGCCCCGGCGGGGGCTGTTGCATCACGGGGCCGCGCGCGGCGCTGCCTGGCGAAAGGAGCGGCCGCTGGGGCTGAGCCGCGCGCCGTTGCCGTGGTAACGGGTGATCCTGCCCAGCACCCGCAGCGCTCCCAAACTTTTCTGGAAGTGGGGATCCTGCGCCGGGCTTGGCGGGGGCGTGGGGGCCTTGTTCCCAGCTTGGAAACGCGGGGCCGCGGCAGGAGGTGCGGGGGCTCTGCCGAAGCCGCGCAGCACCGGCGACGTGGCTGCAGCGCCAGCCGCTCTGTCCTGCGTTTCGTGTGGAGCGCGAGAAAAATATCCTCCCTAGTATCACCTTCAGAAGGGATTTTTTCACTTCTACTTTCCCCCTGCTCCCAGCGATCCCACCGCTGCTGCGCTTCGCAGAGGGATGGAAAAATAATTTGAGTAATGGCATCAAAGTTGTAATTTGTGTGTTTGAGCAAGGCCTGTTTCCAGAGCCTCGCTTTATCATTTCTGTTGCCTTTGTACGAGTATTTTCATTACGCCCATACAGATTTATTCCGAGATTCTCGTGCCAAGTAAAAGTGTAATGCGCAGCTGAAATAGAAATGGAGGGATTTTGATCCCTTATAATCCCCGCGAGCAAAAAAACCCAGCAAACACACGCAGCTGAAAGCAGGAGGATCTCTGATTTTTTTATGCTTGAAGTGACTGTTGACTGAAGGGGTCACGTTTGCCAGAACCGCTGTGGATTTGCTGGCAGATGCCACCTGCGGGAGCTCCCAGGTGGCCTTGCCAGATCGGGCTGAAGGGGCGAGCTGTCCTTGCAGGGATGAGCCCACAGAGACGCCCCGGTTGGGGCTGCTCTCCCGTCCTCCCTGTGCAGCCACGGGTGCCTGCGGAGCCGCGGGCCTCAAAAGTCGTGCTGCCCTCTTCTAACGGGGCGGGTGGCCAGAACCTCATCGCCTCTTGCCGTGTCTGGGAGAGGAGAGGTGTACTGGCACGTGCCAAACAGCGTGGGATTTAAGGTAGTGTTTTGAGAGACTGCCTGCTTTCGCCAGTGCCCAGATGTAGCTGGGGAAATGGCAAAGCTGTCTTCTGAGCGAGGGAGAGGGAGGGTGCTACCGAAACACCCGCAAACGAGTCCCAAAACTGAAAGGGAAACTTCCTCTCCTTGGAAACCGTGGGATGTCGGAGCTGCTGCTACACTGCTTGTGCTGCCAAGTGCTTTCGAGTCTTCCTTGTAATGACTGCATCATAAAACAAAGAGCTTGCGTGGCTGCAGGAGCAAGTGCCTTGCAAATAGAGGCCCAAAGGAGGCTGGGTTTTGTATAAAGAAATTGTGGTCTCGCTGTTATTTTTAGCTGGACATCTTTCAGCAGTCCCACTGTCAAATAAAACTTAATCTTCCCATCGTCTTCTAAAATATTTATTTATTCATTTACTAATGACTGGCGAAACATCAACACAAGGCTGGTCTAGGCCATCAGTGACTGTTGAATTAATTTAAATATGCATTGGCAGTTACATGGTGAAATATTTTTTTGGAATATATTTCTGGTAGATTCACAAGGAGTCGAACATTCCCTGTGCATTTGGAAAATTGTAATCCCATACGTACGTGATTGCTTTCCCATGTGGACAAAGACTTCGGTAGCGGGTAGAAAATGTAAATCCACTTCGCCATTGTCAGATCTCCAGAGTAATACATCGTCATAGAAACAGATTCCAAGGGAAATTTCTCTGATGTTGAAGATAATATGTCTAGGAAAAATCCTTGGGTGGCAGAGGTTTTGCTGTCCATCCATCTTGCATAACTGAAGCCCACAACTAAGAGAAACTGTATCACTGGATATTAAGGAAATATGTCTGGAACCAGATAATTCACCAATATTACTCCTGCCTTTAGGAACGGGATTAATCGGAGGAATTACAAGGTTTATAAGGATCAGTTGGTGCAATTCCACAGGGGCAAATTGACCTGTTGCTTGTCTTCATCAGATGTTTTAAAAGAATAAGGATACACAAATGAATCACGTGTTCTGTTTAGTATCTGCGTAAGCAGCTTAGGGGTGAATTGAGCACAGAGTGGAGGAATGTACTGTAAAAATATCCCAAGCAAGATGATCACTGAACAGACAAATTCTCCTTTTCTGAGCAGGGTTGGTGACATCAGATGATGTAGCTTCACAACTTTGCTAGAGCATCCTGCATAAACATAATAGGGAGGGCCTTTTATGAAGGAGTCCTACAGTGTGAACCCACACATTTGGATGGCTGAGTCAGCGTTATCCTAGTATCGTTTGAGATTAGACATGTGACTCACACCGGGAAGTTGGGATTACATTGGACTCCATGTCTAGAAGACCATCGTTTCGGGGGAAAAAGCAACTTTACAGTGTTTGTACATAAGAAGGAATTTCAGACTACAGTTGTCTGAATTGCTACTGCAATTCAAGGTAAAGAAGATTATCTGTAAGCGGTAAGAAGAAGAATACAGCAATGCAAATGATTTAATTTTAATTGGATTGGATGTGTATTCTTAAAATCCAAAACTCATGCCAAACCAACCAACCAAACAAAAAGGATTTTTATGTAGTTTTTCTAATTGAAGCATATATTATGTCATTTACGATGCATTTCAAGGGTGAACTAACACTGATACACAGCATTATAAAGAAAAAACTCTTCTTGGTGTGGAAAAATTGGTGCTTTAGTCTAATGTGTTTCTTTTTAAATATTTACAATTGTGTTGGTAATAGCAACCTTGAAATGTATTTATAGACACAAACTTTGTTAAATGACTGCGTAGGTCAGTGCCTTGGTATTTCATCTATATGTTTTATTTCCAGTTTTCTGACTCTAACTGAACTGTAGGTAGGAATTTTCTCTTCTGGTAGTGCTTTGAGGAGATCTTGAAATGGATTCTTCTTTCTTCTGAATGCGTTCCCTCAGGCTAGTTCTTAATTTTAAAATAATAGAAATCATTAGTTTCACAGATGCGTAAGAAATTTTTGAAGATTTGGGTGACCTTCTAGGACTGTTGGCTATATCCTTTTACAGATTTGTGGAGCATTTTTCCACTGCTTTTAATTTTTCCAGTGTGTTTTGCTAATTTTAAACCGGTGGCAAATGTTGACACATCTGTCCTAAGCTGCCCTGTAACTGATGAAATTGCAAATGTGCCTGAGATAGAAACTGAAGAGTGGTTTCTTTCTTGCATTGCCCCAGCCTGCCTGTTCGTAAGGGCTTCGTTGGGTTCCTTGTTGGTTTGCTCCTTCCCATTGAAACGGCTCCTTGGGTGAGCTTGGTTGATATGTTCTGCCTTAGGAAGGGTTGAAACACCAATTAGTCCTGAACTAGATTTGTGCTTGGCTTTGGAGTTCTCCCGTGCACTTCAAAGCACTTTAATCAGAAAAATACTCTGCCTCTCCTGGCAGGCATCACTGCATTTTGGCCGGGATGCCCTCTGTAGAGAGAACTTGAGCCTTGCAGGGCTGCAACCGACAGGAAAATGTGTAGGAAAAACTCCAGTGCAGGGCGATTTGGGTTGTTGGAGAGCAGAGTCGATGCGCAGTCGGCGTACGTGGTGCCCGCCGGTTGTCGGCAGAGCGGGTGCTGCAGAGCCGCCCCGCTGCACTGCTGGGCTCCCGGCCGGTGCTGCAGCCCCAGCGGCTGGCAGGGACCAGGCCCCGTGAGAGGTCAGCAGAAAACCACCTCTGCTTCTTGTGTAGAGGCACTTTCCAGAACAGTATTTCATTTAAATGCGTGTGGCTTCGTGATCTGATTTTCCTTTCCCCTTCCCTTGTTGAAGTGTATGGTGCAGGGGTAGGCCAGTGGATCACAGAGGGCCTGCAGGTACGTGAATGACCAAATGTTTTATGAAACTTTACTACTCCGGGATTTGAAAAATTCGGAGTGGCTTCTGTTTTGTCAAATTTAGTGCCTCTTACCACTATTTCCTTCTGCTGCTGGTGGCTTCCCTAAAAATGCTATGAGCTCCTTAAACATTCATCACTTCTCCAGTGTCTTGTCTTTTGATACCTGTTTCTGATA